GGCCCAACCACCATTTCTCATCCTGATCTCAAGGACTGTGAGAAAACCGGGACTTTCTTGTGGGAGGACTTTCTATTTCCCTGTGGTCCCCCAATCCGGGTTACACTTGGGTCCACACATGCCTGCTGGCATTGCTGGGGGAGCAGCAAGAAGCCATAGGGCCCTTCTTCTCCCTGTCAGGCAGCTGGGAACAGCAACCCCATGTCTTGATGTCCTGCCAGTGGCAAAGCCATGGCACACAGGGGTAACTCCCCAATGGAGTTTGTCCACAGACTCTCCCTGTTTAATCCAAATTCTGAGGTTTGTCTGATATAATTTGTGTTGGCACTGCTGAATCTGGAATAGAAATTGTAATCTGCCCTTTTATCCCATGTTTCTATCTGTTTGCTGCAAACCATGGAAGTTCCTTGAGCATGAATAAGTCCAGAGAAGGCTGCTTTCGAGCACTACTCAGCTCAAGTCAGTGTCCATTCCCTATTCCAAAGAAAAGGGCAGACATCATTCCTCTCTGTAGCTTGTCACTGAAATCCTGTTCTCCTGCACATTTGACGTCCTCCCAGTGACTCACCCTTAGAAGTGCTTTGAGCCCTGCTGCAGTGATGTTGTATGTGTAAAAGGAAATTGTGAAAGATGTCATTATCTCCTGCATTGGTCCTTGTTTTCCTGGAGATCTGAAACCATCTGTCAGATGGTTTTCAGAAGGACTCTAAATACTGACCACATATGGCCTATCATCATGTATGAGATACAGAAAGACAAATATATATGTCGAATGGTAAAATGACAGTCTCAAAAGGCAACTGTTTTTGAAAGCACTTGTCTATTGCAAAGGCTCTCTTTGCCGGCATACATTGAGTCATGTACAAGTGTAGTTTCAGTATTTATCGTGGGATGTTTAGCGATCACAATAAAATCGTGAAATGCGAGATACCGTTTGCAGTTTGCACTTGTATAGGTAGGAGGGCTTCATATTATAGCTGGCTCATTGGCATAGTAAGTTGTTGCAAATGTAAGTGAAATCTGAGTTTTCTGCAACATGCTGGCCGTAGGTGGGAATGCCGGTGCTCACCATCCACTGCTGAGGAACTGCTCACTGCAGGGTAAATGGGCACAGATGAAAGGTGAGATGAATGGCCTCCCCTCTACCTCCCCAAGGGATTCTTGGCTAAAAATACAAATATTTTCAGTCAAAACAACAAACAGGATGGGGAGAGGGGAAGGCCACATTGACATTTTACTCTAAAGCTCATGTTCAGGTGGGCAGAAGTGGAGGCAGCAGCCATTTTTGTTGGGATATTGTGTTGCTCAGGCAGCCGTGACGTCTCGCCAGAGGTGAGCAAGGCAGGGAAAAGCTGGGGGTAGATGGTCAGGTGGGTCCAGGTGTCCTCCCATGCAGTGGCAGTGGCTGCTCCCCAATCTTGCCCTGCAAGGGCACCCACCAGCCCTGTCCTCTTCCAGCAGCTGAGCTCTGGCGCAAAGCGCCCAGGTGAGCCCCGATGGCCTCAGGAGTGTGGGGAGCTGCTGGAGGCAGCGTGGTGGGGGTGGGTGTTGATTCCTGCCCAGGGCACCATGGGCAGTTGCCCACCTACTTTAGGCAGCTTCCAGTGGAGGGGTCTGCCTGCTCGTGGGCTGGGTGGCAGGGGTGACAGGGTTCTTGCTCATCCCTGAGAACAGGCAAGAAGTGGGGTGGCAACCGGCATCCCATAGACTGGGAGGTCCACATCACCCACCACATCCAGGTGAGGGTGTCTCAGCAAGGAGCCTGGTGTTTGCAGAGTGGGATTTATCTTTGTTGGGCTCAGTGGGGAGGTAAGTCAAGTGGGAGTTATCCTCTAGCAAAAATAAGCTTTTTCTCTTTGTTTCTCTTTGTTTTCCAGTCATGCAAGAGAGCCACAGGGCAGATTTTCTGTGACTGACACATGATAGCTTCACAGCACTGGTACAAGATAAGAGGTTGCAGAGGGGAATTCTGTGAATGCAAAACCCAGGGATGTCATTATGGCATTGAAACATGAACCTGGACATCGCTCAACCTCTCTTTCCTCCTCCAAATCCCTCTCCTAAACCCACTGCTTTGCAGCCAGCCTTCCAGGCTCTCCTGGCTGTCAGTCCACAGCCTGCAAGCTGTTACTCGCCTGCAAAAATAGAGGAGTTAGAAGCAATGTCTGTAAAAAAAAAGCATATCTCTAGGAACTAATATCCTGGTTGTGTCAACAAAGCCAGGTAACGTTCCTGAGCAAGCAATACTTCGCAAAAAATATAATTAAAAAATTATATTTTCTTCTTTGTGATGGCTGGCAGACATCCAGAGTTTCTGTCCAGAGGTAGGTTTAAGCAGGTCCTCTTGTCCTTTGTTAGTCCTCTGAGAGATGGCTTGGCTTGGTGACCCTTTGGAGGTGGACAGCTGTGCATGATGGTGGTCTTCCCTTAAGGGTGTGGAAGGGGAGGAAGGGCTGCCAAGGAGAGACAGGAGGGTGCCAGGCTCTTTCTCAGTGCAAGTCATTCGAAGTCCAGCCTAAGCTATCTGTGCTGAAGACCAGCTGCAGGACCATCCTGTGGCTCTGCAGCCTCTTGGGCTTTGCTCTTCTCTTCCTGTACAGTTGTACAACTTGTGGCTTTCCTGGCACTTCTCAACCAGCTTTCACAAGCATGGCTGAGCCTCCATAGTTCCTTACCATGCAATTACTGCTGTGGTTTGTAATACTTTGACAGAAAAACCTGTACTAATTTTTCACGTGTCTGAACTACATATTCCTTGTGAGAAAAATATTTCAGCTTAGGCCTTGCTGCAGAAGGTGGGTTTATCTTTGTTTTGTCAGTTCCTTTTTGTGGTTGTGCTGTTTATTATCTGTTCCATATTAGTGTGCTTCACCACACAGAAAACCAGCAGCAGACTGTCCCTCACCTTGTTGCCATCGGATGTCCTCTGCAGATGAATCAGGTGTCATGCTCAGCCTGTTAACAGAAGGTTTTTGTGGGCTACAACAGGTATAAATCCACCAGAATTACATCCCAGAGTCACATTACAACCTGAGAGGTGCTTCAGTTCATTGTCCAAAGGGCTATCACAGCAGCAAAATCCCCCAGCTTTTTTCCATGCTGTGAACACCCCCGTCCATACCTCACCATATGCATGTGTTCCTGTGGACTGACATTTCTAACCTTCAGCTTTTCCTCACAGAATTTCTCTGTTTCTGCCTGTGGAAGTGCCTGCCTTGCCAGGCAAAGACAGCTTTCCTCATCTCATTCAAAGCCCCTTATTAAAGCAGGTTTTTGATGCACGAAGGGCAGCTGACTCAGAGTTAGGAGGATAAGAATGAGGCGTTCAAATTCCTCCAGATGCGAAAGTCACCTCTGACCTGGCCACAGAGGGGAGGGGAAGAAGACAAATATCTCTGGTTGCTGCCAGGAAAGGCTCCCCGCCAGCCCTGCCAAAGTCCCAGCTGTCCGTGGCTCAGCTGCCGGAGCCACTTCTCCCACTTGGCTCTGGGCTGTTGTCTGCACCAGGCAGTGGAAGCAAAGGTGTGATTTCAAACGGGTTTAACTAAACTAGCACAGATTTCCCATGAATACAAGATTCTAGATAAATCTATTTGGTTTTATGTGACTGTTGACAAATGTGTATGTTTACATAGGGAAAAGTCCAGCCCTATGGACTGCAAAGGGGTGCAGGATTTCACTCAAACACTTAAAATGTATGCAAGGCATTGAAAATAAAATAGTCAATCATACATTTAATGTGATTCACTGCCATTGCACGCAGAGAATAGTATTAATTTTAATATGGAAATCAATGAAAACCTTCCCTTTTATGTTTCTCTGAAGTGCAGAGTTTCCAGACTGGTGTTGCATGCGGATAAAGGGCCCTGCTTTGAACTCGGGGTCTGTCCCTGAACACATAGGGGACTCACTCAGCTGCTATACAGCATATTTCAGATGCAAGTTTTGAGGTAGAGCTTTCTACAAAACATTTAGCAGAGAAAGTATTGTAGTTATTGATTAAAAGAGAAGACAATATTCTCATTACATGTACAGTACAGTGGCAAAGTGATTTTATACAGTACATGCAGGTACTTTGGCTTAAATTTGAGGAGGAGATATTTATTACTTGTACAGTTGTGTGATAAATTATTGGCAAGTAGAAGCACAGATGGCTTTCCCTTAAGATCAGGCATCACATGCCACAAATTATCTGGGAAATTGTCATTTTAAAAATAACTCTGGAACAAGTGCCAAGCTGAGAGGGATATCAGTGTCTAATAAACAGATATAAACAGAGCAGTGCCCAAAACTAAAATATATTTGAATTAAACTATGCGGAGAGAGAGCATATACAATTAGCACCTATTCTCTAGCAGTACAAATGAAAGCTTTTCATACTGTATTTCTTCTGTCTCTTTCTCATCAGAAAATTCAAATAATGTTTTTAGTGCATATTTAAGCCGTTGGGGAGTTAATGGCTTGAATAGTCATGTTAGATTCTTATGTTACAGCTCCTAAAAAAAATCATACCGGAAGAAACTTAAGCACAGTTATAGGCAGGCAATTTTTTTTAAACTGGTTTTCAGGGTGGTGACATGTTTATTCCCTGAAGTGGCTGAGCTCTGGCGCAGCCATTGTTCCTATTGTCTTCTTCAGCAACCATGTGTGCTTCACACCTTGGAAAGGCAAGATCCTGGACCCTGCCAAAACACACAGGCAAAGTTCCATCCTGCATCTCATGGCTACGGCTGCTTGCTCAAAACAAAGTATTTATTAGGCTGCTGCATGTGGCTGCGCAGATTGGGGCAGCCCTACACTCTCCACCACAGTGCAGAGATAAGAGCAGGGAGCAGGTTGCATTTGCTTATCTCTCGCCCTCCTCCTTGAGGGGTGAAGGCTGCCATGTGTGAGTGAGGAGAGCCAGGGCCCCGCCGGCTGCACCCCCCCTCCCTGTCCCCCCACCAGCCGTCACCTGTCCCAGCCTGTCCTCTCCTCACGCGCTTATATGGGCACGGCAGGATGGCATCTTGTGACGCCGCGCTGCTAAAAACAGCCCCGGCTCCCTTCAGACCCTCGTTTAAACGATGTCCTCCGGCCAGAGCAACCCAGAGAGCCTCTGATCGCAGCACAGCCTTGGACTTATTTCAAAGGAAATTAACCCGGAAACCCCTCCGTGAGGCCGTGATCCTGAGCGTATGCCCCTGGAAAAGCTAGGGATGAGCACCTCCCTGAACTACAAGTCCTTCTCCAAAGAGCAGCAAACCATGGATAACCTGGAGAAACAGCTGATCTGCCCCATCTGCTTGGAGATGTTCACCAAGCCTGTGGTCATCCTGCCCTGCCAGCACAACCTCTGTCGGAAATGCGCCAGCGACATTTTCCAGGTAGGTTTCTTCCCACAGAAAGCACTGGCTGAAATGAATGGAAAAGCAGAATTTTTTACATGTTTTGGTTGATTGCTTTTGACAGTCAGTACGAGGGGAATGGCGGGGTGTGGGAATGGGACACAGGTAGTCATCTAAAGCAGAAGCTGAGTGTTCCCGAGGGCCATGGTTGAGCCCACAACAGTGTCACCTGTTAGCTGCGGGGACACGGCCACATGCGTGAGCTGAGGAACTGGCTTCTCATCCAGCAGTTGCCAGGTGCTTTCCTGGGGGTGACTTGTCAGAGCTCCCCTCTCCTTGGGCATTTTGACAATTTCCTATAAGCATGTTTTTGCCCAGTGTTTTTGAAAGAGGTTTTCATGGTTTTACATGGCCTGACTCATCTCTCCTTGTGCTGCTTGGCAAGAGCAGGCCTCCAACCCCTACCTGCCAACCAGAGGAGGCACAACCGTGGCGTCGGGAGGCCGCTTTCGCTGTCCCTCCTGCAGGCACGAAGTGGTCCTTGACCGGCATGGCGTCTACGGGCTGCAGAGGAACCTGCTGGTAGAGAACATCATTGACATCTACAAGCAGGAGTCCACAAGGTAACAAGTGAATGTGTGCCCTTCAGAGGTTTGCCACAAAAGCAGATATGGCTTAGGAGGCTGCTGGCCGTTGGTCTTTCCGTTTAACGCACGTGAGGTTGATTTAGTTTTCTCTCTTGGAAATGCAAAAAGGGATCATGCTGCCATGCATACCTGTCTGTTTGCTGTGCAATGAAGTCAGCTCTCACCAAGCACAGAAAACTGTATCCAAATAGATGCCAAATTTCCCTGCTTCCACTTATAGCAGAGGATTGTGCGACGCTTATTCACATGAGCAGCACTTATCCATGCTAGCAAAGCCCTTGAGGTCAACATGGCTACTGTGCACGTGAATAAGGGGAAGGTAGCTAGGTTCACATCATTTATTTTAAAAAGTGTTTGGATGATTCTTATTCGTCTTTAACCTGTGTGTTCTCATGCTAAAGAAGGGTAAGAAATTTCAAGTCTTATTAGAAAATCCTGAGGGACAAACAGTGCAAACAAGACAAAAACTAAATTTAACTCAGAAGATATACTGCATCATAATGTCAAATCAAAACTCAGTAAAAAAAAATAAAATATCTAAATTCCTGTCAACTTGGGATGTGAACTCATGAAATCAAGTCTTATTTAGGACTCCATAAAAGAGAAGGAATAGCCAGAAATAATATGTGTCAGTGCTGTGTGGCTGTGCACAAGAATCAGGACCTCAGGGCAGAGATACGAGTTCATCCTAAAAAGTAAGAGTACTCCTGAATGTCAATTGCCTGCATAGGATGGTGATGGATCCAGCAATAGAAATGTTTCATTCTCATCTTTTGTTCCCTGGGATGGGTTGGACACGTGGGGAACTTAGTAGGGGGAAGCTAAGCCTGACCCCAGGCCACCAGGCAAGCAGTTCTCACCAGGGGAAGCTGCCAGCTGTCACCAGTGTGTATCCGTAGGGCCAGTTTTGTATGTCAAGGTGTTTTGTACACAACCATGGGAGCCTGGTTCCTGGGATGGCTTAGGGCACTTCTACCCTCCTCCGGCAGGGGACAGACACCAGCACAGAGAACGTTTTGGAGCCAGATGGTAGCTTTTGGCTATTCTCAGCTGTTTGAATCTCTTTGCGGACTGTTGTAGCCGGACATAGGTTGAAGATCCAAAGCGTCAGAGAGCACAAAGGTGGCTTAAAACTCCTTTCTGCTGCCCTCCATGCTCAGTGTCAAGGGAAGGTCAGCTACCCTTGTGTGTGTCATTGATACCCAAATATTATTTTAGTCAGGAAAATCTTAGTGGAAATGAATCAGTGGTGGAGTGGTGGAGTTTACTTCTGACCAAATAAGCTGGACATGTATGGTCTCATATCTTTCTTGGTTTGGGGGCTTTTTTCAGCTCACAGTTGTATTTAACTTAAAAAATAATTAAATACAGCTCCTTTTCCCATGTAGTTAATGGGAAATTGGAACAAAATTCAGTTAAACAGAAATGTAAGAGATTTAGTAGATATTTTTAAAATTTTGTGAAAGTAAAACACATGATGAATAAAAGGGGAGAATAGAAAAAAGTACAGATATGAACATATATTTGCTAAGATATTTGTCCAGAAGATTAATTTATTTAGTCTGTTAAGGTGCTTATTTAACCTTCACTTATGTCCTTAGGATCAAAGTTATCATCAGAGTTACGTAGCAGCAGCAATGCATAGCAGCATTATCTAAGCTATTTGGCACTTTGCAGGCCTCAGCTGCTTATCTGTCTCCGCCTAACCGTTCCTCAGGCTCCCATGAAAGTGTGAGCAAGATTTGCCGTGGCTTTACCCTATACTGTCCCACTGAACAAAAAAGTCAAGGGAAATCAAGTCTTTTCCACTTCTTCCTTTTGTACCAGTCTCTTCCAAACTGAGGGTTGGGATCTGGCAGAGGACGGAGGGTGAGATGTGACCTTTGACTGCTTGGTTCTTGCCAAGATGACCCTTCAAACTGGCAGCACCTGAGATTTCCAGACAGGAGCCTCTTCCCCTCGAGTCATCCTGTGGGTATAATTCACCATAACTGCGTGTGCCAGAATAATGCCAGCTCCCGGCTGCATTTCACATGAACTTAGGAGAGTGAGGAGAATTCAGCTAGGGAGCAAGCTTTGTCTCCTACTTAGGCAAAAATAATTTATTTCAAAAATATTTTTTTTAAATTTGAGTGTCTATTTGAATTAAGGAACTGGGCTGTTTTAAATAAAAGCTGGGGCAGGAGCTGGGCTATGGGGTTGGGAGGGTCTGCCCAAGCCCTCACATGCAGCCCCTCCTATTTCTAAAAATCACATCATATGGTCTTTTATCCCATTGCTCATCAAATTCCAGCTGATGGCAGCGTAGCCTGTTGCCTAATTTAGAATCTATTAGCAACACAAGAAAAGAAATCTTCAAGCAGGACGTGGCTCCTACAAAGCTTTAAAGGACAGCAAAGGACTCAGTGGAAATAGAGTTGGCTAAAATATTAAACCAATCTTTGAAAGTCTGTAGGCCACTGATTACCTGAACTATCTGAGGAACATCAGGGTGCCTGCTGCCACTAGGAAAAGGTAGCAACAGCAGTCTGTGACTTCTCACAAGCTCTGGCAGCCTCTAACAACCTCGGCTGGCTATTCCTGATCAAAAGGTGCTTTGGGCTTTGTTACCATCAGAAACCTGATCAGGGCGGGCTGAGTGGTCTTTCTGCCTCGCACCTACCAGAGAGAGCCCTAGGTACAGGCTGTCCCTGCAGCCCCAAGCACAGTGCGTGCAGCTGCATGCACAGCAGGGACCAGTTGCTGTGCTGAGGGCACGGTGAGTGGGCTCTGTGACAGCGGTGACATGCTGCAGGACAGGGTAGCCAGCACTGCCAGAAGCAGCTATCCCTGACACCTCAGAGGCCTCAGCCACAGCTCCCCAGAGAGGACATGGCTCTCCAGGATGGGCTGCAGGGTCGCCTGGGCATCTCAGATAGGCTGGGCCAGGGAGATGGGCTCCCTGCTCACAGGTTGCCAAGCAAAGCAGCTGCAGGAGGACCCCTGCAGACTACCCAGTGAAAGAGATGGGGAGAGAGATCACCTGGATCTTCTCCAACTCCCCATGGAGACAAAGCCCCAAGCTCACCTGCACCAATGGTTTTCTTGAGCCAGGCATTCACAGTAATAGTGTAATGGAGCTGCAGGAATCCCCATGCCCATATGATCTTTTGTAGTGTTCTCATTTTTTAAGCCTGATTTCTACTCTGGGTACTGATAGGCTTTTCACTGCTTTTGGCAGAGTCCATCATTGTGGTTGATTTTTAAGGACCACCTCCTCCAGGCTCAAGAATGGTCTATCCCCAGGAACTCAAGCAATGGTGGCAGGATACCTGCACTGATTAACAGGGAGCTCCTGATAAAAACAAAACATTAAAAAAGAAGCAAAAAGAAGGTGGACAGGTGACTCAGGAATATTTTGAGACACAAACATGTACGGATGAAGTTAGGAAAGCCAAAGTCCGCTTGGAACTGAATCTGGTGAGGGACATGAAGGCTAAGAAGAGCTTCTAACAGGTACATTGGCAGCAAAAGGAAGATTAGGGAAAGTGTGGGTCCACTGCTAAATGAAGCAGGGGCTCCTGTGACAAAGGGCATAGAAAAGGCCCAGGTACTCAATGCCTTCTTCACTTTGGTCTTTACTGGTAAGATCAGTCTTCAGGAATCCCAGGCCCCCAAGACCAGCAGGAAAGTCGAGAGCAAGGAACTTAATTTCAGTGGAGGGGATCGGGTTAGGGAATATTAAAAAAAACCTGGACATCCTGATGGGATGCACCCATGTGTGGTGAGGGAGCTGGCTGATGTCATTGCAAGGCCACTCTCAATAATCTTTGAAAGGTCACAGTAACCAGGATAGTTTCCTGAGGACCGGATGGACTGGAAAAAAGCAAATGTTTCCCCAGTCTTCAAGAAGTGCAAGCAGGAGAATCCAAAGAACTACAGTCATCCTCACACTGGTCCCTGGAAAGTTGTTCAGGGAAACCCTCCTGGAAATCATTTTCAAACATGAAAAAGACAAGAAGGTGGTTAGAAATATTCATAATGAATTTATGAATGGGAAATCAGCCTGACGAACCTGATAGCCTTTTATGGTGAGATGACTAACTCAGGGAATGAGAGGAGAGCAGTGCATGTTGTTTACCAGACTTGTAACACTGTCTCCTGGAACATCTTTATTGACAAACTGATGAAATAAGGTCTAGAGTGGACAGTGGGCAGTGAAGTGGACTGAAAACTGGCTGAACTGCCAGACTCAAAGGGTCATGGTGAACAGCATGAGGTTAGGGGGAGGCCAGTCATTAGTGGTGTATGCCCGAGATTGATACTGGAGCCGGTACAGTTTAACCTCATATATTCGTACAGATTCTCTCCATTTCCTGACCAGGCACTAGGTGATGTGATGGTACAGGAATGGCTATCTTAGGTCCTCAGTAAGAATACTATCGAAGTTGGATTTATAGAAATAGAATTCAAATAGAAACCTTTATGGATTTGTAAAAATCCTGATGAATACATGCCTTCTAACTAAACAGCAGTTTTCCTAAGGTCTTACTATGTCTTTAAATAAAGTGTGCTCCTTTACATGCCCAACAACTTTGCATTTCCTCACCAAATCTCAGAATCACAGAATGACTCTGGAGGTTATCTGGTTCAGCCCCCCAGCTCAAGCAGGGCCACTCAGATACAGGTGCCCAGGACCATGTCCATATGGCTTTTGAGTGTCTCCAAGAAAGCAGACTTCATAACCTTTCTGGGCAATCTGTGCCAGTGCTTAGTCACCCTCACAGTGAAAAGCTGTTTCCTTATGTTCAGAGGCAACCTCCTATGTTTCATTTTATGCCCACTGCCTCTGGTCTTGGCATGGGCCACCTCTGAGAAGAACCTGGCTCCATCCTTGTTATATCCTCCATTCAGGTATTTAGATACCTGAAGGTATTGATAAGATCAAAGCCATTGTTAAGATCCCCCTGAACTGTCCTCCCAGCTCTCTCAGCCTCTCCTCACAGAAGAGATGCTCTAGACCCTTAATCATCTTCAGGGCCCTGGGCTGGGGTCTCTCATTGTCTCTTGTGTACTGGGGAGCCCAGAACTGGACCCAGTACTCCAGATGTGGCCTTCCAGTGTTGAGAATTCCCCTCTCCATAAAACATGCACAAAGCTCCACACGTTAAGGTCCAAACCCAGTTTTAATGGAAAAGGATAAGCCTGTAGCAGACAAACATAGGGTTAGCACCTCAAAGTGCAGTCAGAGAATGAAGGCACAAAGCTATTAGGCTACTTCAGCAACCTGTTGCTTCTTTGGTCACAATCACATCTATGATGAACCTTTTCTTCTACTAAAGCCACGCTGTCGTTTTCCTGTCGGGTACTCCTTAATCTCCTGTTCCAGGAGCAGCCATTTTAATGGCTTAATTTTAATTTTAAGAGGTTGTGTTTCAGCCTTTTGTACACGAATACAGACCTAGAGGATCCCCTCTGAAATCAGGGAATATTGTGCTAAAAATCTCTCATTTAGCACAGCCTAGGAAGGAGACTGTAGATGTTTACTTCTAGTATTCTGTCACTTCAGGACCCCACTAGTTCAGGGAGTTCTGCCAGGTTTCTTCCAGCTCTTCGCGGCATCTTTGAAGGTTGGCTACTTCTGGCTGAACTTGCTTGACACTGTTGCTTTTTTGCCCTGTGTGATGTGTCTTTCATGCTAGTGGCACGATTCCAGTGTCAAATAACATTCTAGCAGTTTCTGGTTCTGGTCTATTTGCAGAAAGAGCAGCTATTTCAGGCTTAATTAATCACTTTCAAATTCATTGTCTGTTATTGCCCTCACATTGCGGGCCCTCCCACTGGTGCACTATAACATGAATATATTAGGGGCTGTTTGCTGTCATGTGCAAACAATGTAAAGCATTTTTTATAGTGGACACACACACACCTCTTTTCATTAGCATTGAAATGATGCTGGATTTAACACACAGCCTGCCGTATGGAAATCTGACCCAAATAATACAGGCTTTCTTCAGAAGTGTCCATCTTGTTTTATTCTAGTATATTGTGTTATATTGCAGATTACATATTATCCTTATGAACCCTTTAAATTCTAGTGCTCTCTTGAAATTAAAAAATATGAATCCATGAGACATTTTCTTTGTTGCTTAATCTTTTATTAAATGCATCTAAATGATCACATTTCATTCCCTTCAGAAGAGAAAACCTGTACTTTGTCATTAAAAATGTCATGTTCGCTCTAACAAACTCTATGGAATAACTCTACTGTAATATAATCTAAAATAATGATTTTTCCATAAATTTTTAACCTTGAATAGAATGACTAGTTGCCTCCTTACTACAGAGCTCTGTGGAATGGCTTTTAAAAAATGTTCCCATGGAATTCCATTAAATTCTATAGTTTTAGAAAATATTTTCTATCTAATGATGAAAAGATATATTTCTGTGATGCCACTGCTCCACAAGTAAGTAATAATTCTCTTTCCAAATGGAAGCAGAAGGGAATAATGGCTTATGTTGGAAATACTTAACATTGTCACAGTAGGAGTGGCAAACTTCAGAGGCTTGAACCTCCAGGCACACTCCCACCGTCAATCTACTGACCCTGACCTCTGGTACCACATCTTCACACACTCACATGCTTGCCACAGATGTGCTCAGGGTGCTAAGCCTGAAGTGTGGGCTAAGAAAAGCACCAGCCTGCCCACACGGACTGGACCAGAGCTTTCATTTACACTGGGAAGTGGCTCATTTAAAGGAAAATACAACTAAAGTAGTTCCTAAAATATCAGGGATTGACTTGTATGTATGTGGCTAAAGCATTTTGGTGAAGAGAAGACCAGGACTGAGCTATAGTCTGGTGACAGTTCCTGGCTTAGCACAAGAGAGGAACGCTTCTTGTGTGTCCCATGCCCTTGGTGACGAGTACAGTTGAGTTACATACTGTTAAAATGTTTGACACTGTACAAGCTAGACGTGTGCCACCTAGCAAAAATTAATTTGTGTGAGACATTATTTTGGTTGCTGGCCTAGTGTAAAGGCTTTAAGGACCCAGTCCTGTTTGATATTGACAGTCCTGACCTGGGCCTCACAAAGCTTATCAGCAGAGATAAAAAGGTAAGGGCATATAGGTCCATAAATACCTACAACTCTTGCTTCAAATTAGTCCCCTGCATAAGAGCTTTGCTGCCTTAAGGCTAAGGACCCAACATTTTGCATGATGAACTCAAAAGAAATTACATATGTTTCATATTTCAGACAGATGTTAGATAACATGTTAATTAAAGTACACAAGTAGTCTGAGATCAGTCTTAGTGAGGTTATTTACATTTTTAAATATGAGCAAGGGTTCAGTCACACTCACAGCTGGAATTCCCGTATGAAGTCATGTTGCTATATTGTCATCCTGTTGTGTCACGTCATTAAGCTGTACCGCTGTCTGTTTAGTCATCCTGTGTGGCAGGTTAAAGTCTACGTTGCATATTCAGGTCAGCCTTGGACACTGCTATATGAATGTACCATATTGCACGCTGATACACTAAGTGTTGTCATCACAAACTCATTAGCACCAAGTTTATTTTAAACTTGTTTTCTTTTGCAGACCTGAAAGGAAGTGTGACCAGCCAATGTGTGAAGAGCACGAAGATGAGAGAATTAATATCTATTGTTTGAACTGTGAAATGCCCACTTGCTCCTTGTGCAAAGTCTTTGGCGCCCATAAAGACTGTCAAGTTGCTCCTCTCACAAATGTTTACCAGAGACAGAAGGTAAGTATCTTTTTGTATCTCATAGTCCTTCCAGCAATGGACAGAACCAGTGACAGGAAAGTATTCCCATGGGGCACCTGTGAGTTTCCATAGGGGCCTGGGTGTGCCTCTGCCATTTCTGTGTGTGAATGAAAGACTCACACAAATCTGTAGTAAATGTCTAGAAATACAAGAAAATAAATTTATGAGAGCCCACACAGAAAGATATTACAGTGTCCCAATTTTTGTCAGTATAGTGAGTAAACATTTTAGGGAGTGATTTGATGTGAAGCTGAGGATATCTCTTTCGAGGTTCCTAATCTCTTTTTTTCAGTGATTTTAGACCAGAAAAACAAGCGGGATTTCCAACACATGAACTGGAAAGAGAACAGACCAGTACAAATCAAATAGTCATCTATCAGGCACTTCGGCTTTTAAGCATCCCTTTTTAAATAAAAGTTAAGTGAAAAACCTCTTCCTGCAACTGAATGAAGGAATATTCAATAGTTGGCAGCACAGGATGTACCTAACATCCTCTGCCCTTGCTGTCACCAGTAAAATACTTGTTTATTTTTAATACAGTATTAATTTAAAACCTGACTCACTGGGTTATCCTCCTGAGATAAACAGCTCATTTTTCTGGAGGGCCTCAGTGGGGCAAGCAATCAGACAGGCCAAGTTTGCAATCCCAGCCTTCACAACTTTGTCACACAGATGCTTGTGTGTGGAAACTACAAATGAGAAGATGCTTTAGGAAAGTAGTTACAAGCATCCCTTTCAATCAAAAAAATGAGGGAGAAGGGGGAGAAGTTTCTTGGACCGAATCCATGCCTCTGATCACTCCCTTTGTAAGCAGTGGTTTCCTTCCCGGAGTGCCTCTGGGAAGGGGCTGTCATGCCCAAGACTGGAGGTGTAACCTGGAGGCTGCAGGATGTGTGCATCAAATGGTCCTTTACAAAGCTGTGGAGTCCACAGACACAGTTGCCTCAGTCACTGCAGCTGTGTGCCCAGGGCCCCTCACCCTCCCCAGCACCCTCATCAAGTTTCCTAGGGACCATCTTCCCTGTCTCTGGTCTTCTAAGAATACCTCACAGTCATCCCCATCGCCACACTCAGGCTGTTTCCTTCTTCCACTCATTTTGCTCATGCCAGTGGCTGAGCCTCCACCTTCTCCTTTTCCTTTCTCCCTTCCCCTCTAATCACAGCCCCAGCCCCACTGCCCTCATGCCAGGGGCTCTGGAAGCACCCTGGTCCCTCCAGGTCCATGAGCCACCTCTTCTCTCCAGGGCCAAGAGCTACAGTTCTCAGGGAAATACCAGAGTGGCATGGTTAGACCTAGACACTAAAAAAACCCAAACCCTCAAGAGAGTCTTTTCTCTCAACAAACCCAAAAGGAATATTTTGGTCTGTTGAAACATAACGCTTCAGACAAAAGCATCTAGAAGAACCTCCTAGAACAAAGTGCTTCCTCCTTTCCAAACCACAGTTTCTTCTCCATGAAAAGTTTCAACACATTAGTGTTTTCATAGTGTTTTATGAGAAGAAATAAATGTAAAAGAGCTAGTGGGTAACTTGAAGGCAGGTAAAGCTCCAATTTTTCTTGGTTCTGGTGGAAAGAAGAGGTTAGTACCCTGGTACAGCTCATTCATCTCCTGCTCCTCACTGTTAGATGTGCCACCTTGAAGTGGGACAGTGTCTAACACCCTCCTGCTTGCTCTCCACTTACTGCCTAGTCCGAGCTGAGTGATGGCATTGCAGTCCTGGTGGGGAGCAACGACAGAGTGCAAGGGATAGTCACACAGCTGGAGGAGACCTGCAAGACGGTTGAGGTAGGTACCACCTCTTTACATACAGTTATTTCAGTGTGAAGTCATATCTTTTGAAATGCTGGTCATGACAATTCTTTAACAGACCTCACTCTACCCAAATGTATTTCCACATTGTTTTGCTAAACCGTTACCTGTGGCCTTGTGCAGTGTCAGCTGTACTGCCTGAACCAAAGGATACATCCTGCTCAGCACCCTGCCTCTGACATTGGCCATGTGGTTGAGGACAAAGAGTAAGGATAATCCATATCAGCACATCATGTTCAGCATTCTTAGTGGCATAGAATACCACTGAAGTTAAAAGCAGATCCACCAAAATGCTAGCAACTCCTAGCTCATTTAACATCTAAAATCAGGCTCTAGAGCTGTAAAAGACCAGTATTACTCTAAAGCCTGCATAGCCCTCTGAACAGAGCCTTAGTCTCAGCCATAGGTTAGCCACAGCAGCTCCCAAGTATGTCAATGAGCTTTGTATTTGGTTATTGTGCCCTCTGTGCATAAGTAGGTTTTTAATATACTTACATTGTTCTTTAAGGACTCTTGTTTTGTTGCTTGTGGGAGAGAGAAGTTTGGGTTCTTACTGGATTTTCTGGTAAATGTCTTACTCTGACAGAGCAGGAATTAGTTTTGTGTCATTCAATAGCAGAAATGGATTTCATTTTCTCCAAGAGGTTTTCACCAGCAAAGCAAATATAAATATCAGCTCTGACCAATCTGAGCATCACAGAGCAATACACTGAAAGGAGCTCATGTGAATTGATTTTATGATCAGAGTTTGATGAAGCATCTGGTGAAGGAGTTGCATCCCTCGCAGCCCAATTAGAATTATATTGACCCTTCAGAGCTGGAGCAGAAAAGGGAAACAGTAGAGCAAAAGAAGTTAATCCAAGATGTATAGATTGTAATTGGTAAGAAAAATGGATTCCATAATCTATGTAAACAATTTCCCAAGGCTCCTATTTCTTCAGAGCAAGGAAGAACAGAAAATGTCCAAGCTTGGTTCAAAGAATGTAAAGCCATTAGCCCAAGTAAATGAGAGAGCGCATTAGCAGCACGCAGAACTTTGTAGTCAGGATGCCTTTTTGTCACAAGGATGAAATTAGTTCCTATCAGGACTTTGCAGACAGAAACAAGCCTTTCAAGTAGGTTAACTGCAGAAATTTGAATGATATAAAAGCAAGAGCTTATACTCATTTAAGTTGAACTAGCTGAACCAGAAACAAAACTTCAAACATCTAGTCTGAAGTGTGAAAAAAACACTGTATTAAAAATACCTTCAAAAATACAATGGTTTCTGAAACTAGCTTCCTCAGAGTCATCCATTCAGTTTAAAGTCCAATCTTTAAACTAGAAGCCAAATCTTTAAAGTCAAAGATTGCAGAAAATAGAGCTTACCTTGTGACTTCCATGTTACATTTCAAGCAAATCACATTTCCTACCATACAAGAACTTTGTCTGAATTGACATCAGTTTGTCCTTGAAGATGAAAATCTACAGCTGGAGCTGAGAAATGTGCACACATGGAAATAATGCTTATAATCCAGAATTCTCTTCTCTCTGTTTAACACTTTGCAGAGAACAATAAATGTCTGCTTTAGCAGAAAACACAAAATATTTTCCTTTTAGCTGGAGTAAGCAATAGTCTACAATTCTATATTTAGCTATTGCTCCTATCCAACCATAAAAAACAGAGAAACAAATTTATTTATAATATTGTATAGCTTTTAACTGATTGAAAGCTAGACCAAATTCACATATTATACTGAAAAAAAAAAAAAAGGAATACAAAATACTAAATAGTGGAAAAAAATTAAGTACTGTTTAGCCCTGTAAACTATATGAGTCAAATAATGAAGGAAAAATTACAGTGTTTCTTTCAAATGCTAATAGTGTAGGCCAGTCAATACAGATACTTCAGAACAAGCAGTGCGACTCATGTTCAGTGGCAAGGACTCTTTTTTTTTTTTTTTCCTGTAGCCATGCTTTAAAAAACAAAAAGGCTGAGAACTTTTTAGAATGGAATGTCATGTATTTCTTAACTTTTTTTCATTACCCAGAATTTGATTAGGGTAATTCCATCAGACAGAGGCTTCATATGGGAACATTCTATACAGAAAGAGAATATTTTACAACTATTTCAGTATTTGCAGATAGGAATATGTTTCGTACTCTCACTCTTGAAGTTCACAACTCTGTAATATCTGCTGGCAGGAAATATTATATATTAGAGTTTAGAGATATGGAAGGATCTCTCAGGGCACCCTGCTATCACTCTCTTCCTCTTCTTCCCCTAACACTTGTCCTGTGTCAAATGGCAAAGATAGCACACACCTGTCTTGAAATCAAGGTTGTTTTACAAGTGATCTCGATGGCATTTCAGAGGAGGTCATTGTAGACTAAACCAAAGAGGTGTCTGGAACAAGTGGAAGTGCAGGAAACACTGGGAGAAACATAGAAAGAGGAATGAAAGAGGAGAGGAAGATCATTTGATGTCTGGACAATAGAATGACACTTGATTCAAAAGCTTCCTTATCCTCAAGTTGTAATTCACTAATAAGGAATTCCTGGAAAGCGGCAAAGACCTCCAGAAGGGCAGGATAAGCTGGCTCCCCCCAACTCCACCCCAAGAGTTTTAAATTAGGAGTGCTTAACCTGGTCTTCTTCATTAGGTAGCAGAGGTGGATTCTTGAATCGATGCAATAAGATCTGTATTTGTTCCCTACCCCTCAGTGTAGACTGATTTTTGGCCACACGTCTGTCTTTGAAAGGCTTTCTCCTTTGAACGATACAGAGCAGACTGTCACCACTTGTAGCAAAGAGCTCTGGCTGAAAGTCAGGGAGAAAGTGGGATTCTCTCTGGCCAAGTGCTGTGAATAATCAGTCTTATCACTTCCAAAAGTACTGTGGGACTGTTAATAATCCTGTGCTGCCAGGATCTCAGCATTATGCCTCAAGGGACAAAGATGAGGAATCGATTCAGCCTCAGTTCCTAGGAAAGAGATTTAAATAATCACCATCATCCACAACCATATATAACCATAATAAGGTTATGCCCATCTGTGTGCCCTGGGGCACACAGATGACTCAAGTACTTCTATTTGGTAGACCTCAGACATTATAGATTACCTGTCTCTGATTTCCTCCCCATAAATCCTTTTTGCAAGCGCAGTGTGTTCTTGTTAGAGAGCGCTCAATGAAGCAGTCATCAAACCCACCCTCCTTACTCAGTGAAATATGCTGTGTTGTCTGGTCGGAGGGACAATAAAAGTGTCTCAAAAAATGATGTGAAAATCAGTGCTTGAAGGTAGAGTTGGAACCTGATTCCTCCTTCTTGTCTTAGTGCTTTTGTCACACACCATTTTCTTCGTGGTACCTGTACCTCATTCAGTGCACAGTAAATGGAACATAATGGACACCTATTGTCGAAATAGAGTCTAAGAGAGTGTATGTGAAAATCAAACCTAGCCAGGATAGTTCCAGGTTCTCTAGTAGAAAAAGAAAATTGTCCAGAACTCATTTGAGATGATCACTCCTTTAAAAACCACTGTTTGTGCAAATGAACCTAGCTGCTAATGCGGTTGGGGATTTTACTTCTTTTGCGGACTTTGATGTGTCACTACAGACATCATAAATACCTTTCACCATTTTTAGCAGGCTGACAAGTTATACAATAACCTGTTTGGGGGCTTTCAGTGGCTTGAAATTCAGAGTTTGAAAACAGTTTTAAAACTTTTGTTCCAATAGCTTGGACTTTGAAAATTATGAAAGTCTCTAGGGTCATTCAGAATCCTTTGCACTGTTCAGAAAGAGGAACTTCTTTGATGAAAATGCTTCCAAGTAACTGTAAAAATAGAAACTCTTTTAAGAACATAACATGTTTAACATAAACCAAATGATTCACAGGAATGCTGCAGACGACAGAAAGAGCAGCTGTGTGAAAAATTTGATTATCTCTATTCTGTACTGGAAGAAAGAAAAAATGAGATGACACAAATAATCACTAGAACCCAAGAGGAGAAACTGGAACATGTCCGCTCTCTGATGAAGAAGTATGCGGATCATTTGGAAGCCGTGTCAAAGCTGGTTGAATCAGGAATCCAGTTCATGGAAGAACCAGAAATGGCCGTGTTTTTGCAGGTATAAAGTCTATAAATAGGGATAGGAAAAAAAAAAAAAAAAAAAGACAGGTTTATCAAAATACTATTTAAGCATTTCTCAATTTTAGGCACATTCAGAATTTGGTCATCTTTGAGTGAACATTTATACAAACTCATTTTTTAAACACTTTCATCAGCACAGACAAATGACTAGTCTTCTTGTGAATAGTATCCAAACCAAGAACGTGAGTATTTGCTATTTGCACCAAAATATACTATCCTGTGTATGAATTTCAGGTCCCTAAAGAAGAAACAGGATTTTTAACATTTTCCAGTATATCTTTATCGTCCCACCACTATAATGGATGTGTGTATGACGTTCTGTGAGTTATAGGTTTCATTTGCATATTGACAGAGTGATAAACTTTCCAAGAATTAAATATTTATGTCCAAAGTCACAATTTTATTACTTTACTACTTTTTTTTTTTCTTCTTCTCTTTTCTTACTATAAACTTAGGAGAGCTGATTAGGAAACCATTAGCAGCTTGTCTGCTGAATTCATTGGCATAGAATTTCTGTCCTGAAAGTTTGCGATTCCTCTATATTAAAGGCTGGAAAGTTGTTTTTTATTAAAACCCCCTCTCTTATTTCCATCAAAGAATTGCCTTTGAAGAGTACAATATTCTTTTCAGACAAATAAAATTTTGTGGCTCCAGAAGCACACCCTTATGGATAGTCAAAAGATATAGTTACTGTGACTAAAGATGGTAACAGAACAATTGCTTTTCACCACAAACACACAAAAAAAAATGAGCAAGACTATTTCCATTTCATTTTTTTAGAAATTGTACATATTTCCTATCACATTCAGATTTTAATTAAAAAGTCTTCAGTGAACTAAAAGGTTTACTCAGCTGTATACTAATTACCATCCAAATTTGATCTCATTCATAGATCTCATGGCTGTCATCTATGAGATCCATATTAGTGCGTTTAGAAGCAGCCAGTGTAAGAATTAGATCTCAATGCATAAAATCTCTGAAAAATGGAACCATTTAAGAAGTCAGTTATTTCCTTTTTGTTTTCACAGAATGCCAAAACATTGCTTCAAAAGTAAGTATTTAAACTTGAAACCCTTGATCTTTATAATGAATTACAAATTACAAATTTATCTGCAAATCCAAATGCCAATAACCAATCTCTCTGTTTTAGAATTACTGAAGCATCTAAAGGATTTCAAATGGAAAAAATAGAGGATGGGTATGAAAATATGAACCAATTCACAGTGAACCTCAGTAGAGAAGAAAAGATAATACGAGAAATTGATTTTGACAGAGGTATGTAATTTATTTCACCTAAACTGCTTTCTTAAATTGCAGCTGTATGTGATTTACATGATGATACTGAGTAGGAAAACTCAAATCAGATATTTCTCTCCATCCCAAAGTGTAACTAGACCATTTTGTATAAATTATAATCAAAAGCAAAAATCCAACACAGGTAAAAAAACACATAACCTGTTCACACCTTTAATTTTATATTTTATGTGGCCTCAACAATTTCTTAAGCCCATGCATGATCTTTACTGAATCCTCATGTGAAGGCACCACAAAATTATGCTTTTATCTCATTCTTTTTTTACTCTAAAATATTTCATTATTGTACAGCCTGTCTACTCTAGCAAGTCATTAAATAAAGTGTTTATTACTAAAAGAAGTACTTATGCAAGATACTTTTTTAAAACTCTTTTTTATAATAATAGAGAAATATAATAGAAACATAATGAAAATTCAATTTCACAGAGTTATAGCAGGAAGTAAAACTTGTCATCTTTCATGCATTTAACATCTTTCGTCATGTCATCATGACACCATGACTAAACAGGTTTAATATATCTATATAACAACGCAAAGTTGTAATTTTACATTTACCAAAGTAGCCCGAAATCTAGGCTCACCTATGCTACAGAATAAGCCACAAGAAGTTAATAGAGCTAAATGTTTCAAATAAACAAATTATTAAAAGGCAACAGTAATAGTAATCTGGATATCTCTAATTTTCCTGCTAGTACATTTACCATTATCAGCCCAGTTAAGTCTCATGCAGATGCCACCATCGCTTACTCCCCTGCCACGACTTACACTAACTTCAGAGTGCGTGTCTGCTCCCTGCGAGGGACCCCGCGTGCCCGCTGTGCAGATCTTGGTCTGTAGGTTGGGATCCGTAGACTTGCTGTACTTGGCAGAGGATCCATGTAGCAGAACAGCAGCTGTGGCACCAGTCAGAAGCAGAGGAGCAGGTGCCATCTCTCAGGCCATGAACCTCCAGGGATTTGTCCTGAGAGGGGGCAATCCCCAGTCACAGCCTCGTGCGCAGTCTGTCCCTGTGATCAGCCACAGCTGCCACATCCCTGCCACACATGTGCATCTGCCAAGATCATGACCTCGTGCTCTGGGCACTCACCCCACCATGTGATGGGGAATGTGACACCCACTCTAGGGGACAAGGCATGACCAAGGGCTTTGGCAATCAGGAGTTCAGTCCTGTGTTTGAAACGCCTACTGCAGTCAATGAGGTCCTCTGCAGCCAGGGGACATGGAAGCAGAGATTCAGCATTCTGCTTATAGGAGTGTATTTGCCTGCAGAAACATTTCTCTGTTATGAAGGCATTACTTAACTTGCATTCCTTAACTACATTCCTTCTACATACTCAGGCAGAACCGTAACCTGTACAAAATGCACAGCCACTCTGGAGCTTGGGTTAATGCATCTATCTAAGTTTGTCTGAAGTGCTAGGATGGCTCTGAACAACATCCCACGTTTGTGATGAATAGTGTGATTATGCAAAAGAAAATGCATTGTTAGAGGGCTCCCTCTGGAAACAGGCCGAGCCATGAATACTGACAACAGGATGTCAGATGACGCAAAAGCAACAATTTGACCAAGTCTGACAGTCTGGTTTTACAGAAGTTGGTATCCCAAACCTCCAGTCATGTTTTGCAAAACACTGACCTGGTAAAGATTTTTTATGATGGCTTCAATGGTGTTTAAAACAAACATATACCATTGCAAGAGGCACTTTTTTCCTGGCAAATTGTGCCAGACCAAATATCTTCTCCCCAAAAAGTGCAGGGCATGTGCTGCATATCCCTCATGAGGATAGCCTCATTGGCAAGACCTTCTCATGGAAAGGACCAGCTTAACATTTTAACAAGCATGTGTCTTCTGTGCCCTCCCTGCTGCGAAATGCCTGCTGGCAGCTCCACAGCAGTGCCCAGTCCAGGATGGTGGGAACAGGCTCCTCACCAACACCCTCTCCCCAGCCTGCATCCTCTGCCAGGCAGCAGATTATTAGTAGTTTTGCCATGCAATTGTAAATGGCTTTTTAATGACATAAAGACTGTAGTCTTCTTCATGTGGTGCTCAGCCCTGTCCTTTACACGTGTCCTATCAGAGGAGGAGAGAGAAGAGGAAGAGGAGGAGACGGTGGACGGTGAAGATTTGGATGAAGTCCACACGGAGTCATCAGGAGAGGAGGAGGAAGAGGTGGAGGAGGAAGAGGCTGAGAGAGCACCACAGCCACCTCAGCAAGACCCTGAACCGCAGAGCGCAGCAGGAGAGCCCGCAGCCGAACCCACTCCCGTGCCACTGCCCACTGCCCCAGCTGGTCAGGTAAGTGCCCCCGGTGTCCCGCTGGACTGCCAGCTACGCTGAGTGTGCCCTGGCACAGCAAGAAAATCCTCCCTTCTGGTCCAAAGGCACCATACCTCAGGAGCACAGCTAAGGGAGTTGATGCGCTGGAGAGCAAAATTATTTATTGCCCTTGTACACATATGTGCAACTATATCCTGTCCACCTGACCTGTGTATATATGACTTGATATGCAAAAAATTGGGCTGCTAGATAAATTGGGATATATATGGGATACATAAGATATAAAGAAAAAAGATTCAGTTTGGGAGTTAAGTGCATTACAATGGATGTTCTGCATGCTGTGATTTAACTCAGACTAACTTATAAATGAAATGGTTGTTAAAATTTTTTTTCTAAAAGAATTTGGCATTCCCTCTGGATTTAGTGAGCTTTCTACCAACAATTTTTAGATCACACTTCTAATCCATTTTCTGTGAATGGTGTTTGCTGCCTTCTGCTCTGATCATCCTAGGAATATCATCTAGGTAGATGCAGGGATATCATACACCAAGCAGGAAGGGGAACTGCCTCTTACAACCATGAGCAAACAGATCCAGGGTGTGATCCCAAAGTCCAGCACTTTTTTTTAAAATATTCCATTAGAATGAGACCACAATTGCCACATATTCTAAAAGACTTACATAAAAAAATACATTTAATGTGTGTTTTGCAAATTATTAGGCCTAGCATAAAGGACACAGCCAGCATAAAGATGAACCAATAACCAAATTGTATTTGATACAAAAGGGTCAGTACATGGGTGAGCACTGGGGGTACAAACAAGTCAGTCAGATTATACATAATCAATATCAATCCCATTGACCCCAACAACCACACCCCACAACCAACAATGGGTGGAATAAATGGTGAAATGCAGTCTCTCATAGAAGGGACAGGAGACAACCGAGTCAACAAACCAAACACATAAGACCAAGGAAGCCACATACTGGATCTCTACACAGCCCATGTGTACAAAAGCCAGACCTGACTGGAGCCCAGTCCCAGGGAGGCAGGAGGTCCTTCCCCAACAAGGAACTCTGCACAGGGCATCCATCTCACAGACAGTGACCCCACCTGCAAGTGGTCCCAGCTTTTATCCCTCAGTGGGACACCTGACCCTTGTTTACTTACTGCAGACACCTGGGGCTCCTTTACCCAATGGCTCTCCCTGCAAGGCCGGCACCACCCTGGAGGGAAGCTTAAAGGTAAACTCACCCCCCCTTTGTGAAGGGCTGTGGGAATCACCCATATGTCAACCTTAATTTGGGGCTTGGGGTTGAAACCCCAGCATTTCAATGTGTTACTTTAGCTGGCCTTACATACAATTAACTTAGCAAATTCTCCTCTTACACAATTTACCCAGTGAAATTCCTGAGCGAGTAAAGGCTGCTGTGAAGATATTTGAGGAGGCCAGTGTGAAAACAAGAAAGCATGTAAATAATCTTTGATTGTAGCAAGCTCCCCACATAAACTAAGGGAAAATAAATAGTTTCATTCTTGCTGTGATTTAAAAATGTACATGAGTTTGCACCAGCTCTGTGAAGATGCTCTTAAATAAGGCTTTACTGATTTAACCAAAGTTTGTATTTTGAGGATTTGCACTGACTTAACTAAACTTATGTCACCTAACTGATGTAGGTTTTTATGCAAACAAGAACTAGACATAAGCAATTCTGCCCACTAACGTTAAGTAGCAATTGTAAAGTGCCATTAGGACATGGTCAGACATGGAGTCAGACATGGCATGTGGGTGTTGCGGTGTGTGGGATATCTGTATTTCAGCTTTTGCCTTCTGGTAGAAGAGAAGCAAAGCAGAAATTCTGTGGTGATAGCAGGTACCATGTGGGTGAGCCCCATGAGCCTGATGCAGGTAGAGAGGTGCAGTTCGGCCAGCTGCTTCTCTTCCTGGCAGAGCAACTGTGCTTGGCTTACAATGTCCATAGCAAGGCTGGCGGGCAAATGTTTCTCCCCAGCGTCTTTGTATTCCCCTTATTCTGACTGTTCATATGGCACTGATGGGTGCATATGACCCATTGGCAAACATGTTGTTCTTAACCCAAAACCCAATAAGCTCTTTGAAGTTACCTATACCTGTCGTTCATGGCTGGTACCAGTTCATGAGGCTCTTACACAGAATTTCTTAGATTTTTAGGACTGAATTGGGTTCTTATCTGATTAAGGAACTGCTTGCTCACTCCTTTGTCAGTCAGCATCCCCTTCCCAGATAATTCTACCCTCCTATTATATTTTGGGGGTAACTTATTTTCTTTCCCATATCTGTATTATTCAAATAATAGCTGCTTTTGCTTTGCATTTTGATTGTAATTCTTTCAGAACATATATTAGAACAAATCTATTCCTTGCAGTGAGATATAACAAACAGGGGATGCAGAGCAATGTGGCTACGGCAGGAAGGTAACATGGTGCACTCTGCTTGTTCTTCTCTTTATCTGTCCTGATTAAGGATGAGGTTGTGACACCAAGTGGTCCTCAACAGACTCCAGAGTCTGACACTCACGTGGCGGCCACAGCAGAAACCATCGATCCCTTGTTTTACCCTAGCTGGTATAAGGCTCAGTCACGGCAATCAAGCAGTCCAAACTCAACCCCGGTGAGTGGGTTGGGGAAAGTAGGGCCTCCTGTTTCTCTGGAAACAAGTACAAAGAAGGCAGAAGCCCCAGCAGCGACAGCGATCGAGGAGAGTACACTGGGGAGTGGTAAGGAAAGTCATGCCACTGCAGCGACGTCCAAGGTCAGTGCTACCGAAGTCACCGCAGAGGGCTGTGACACACAGCAAGGCGGGAACAGCAGTTGTTAAGGAAAATATGACTTAATTTTCCTCTGCATGCTAAAGAATAAGAATACTTTCAGAAATATGGAAACAGCATAAATTGTCATTTCAGAAAATCCGCTGGATTTACAGATGGTTTCAGTATGTGACAGACTGACTTTTCAGCTTCAGTGTAGCATGTTGACGGTTGCTTGTGCTTAACTGCCAGTGCACCTTGCTTGTGCGAGCTGTTACCCGAGTTGCTCACACACACGCTCAGGAGCTGTTGGAGAGGTCAGAGATGTCTCTGCACATCAGATATTGCATGCGTTAGTAGCAGACAAATCCTGTGCATGAAATTATTCTCATCACCTGTTGAAAGCCTGTGTACAGCACATGTCATCCTACCACTGCTGGTTGAGCAGCTGTGGCTTGGCTTTGCCTTCTGCAGCTCTGTGGCTACACCTGGAATGTACAGCTTCCCCATGGGAACACAAAGCTATGCAAATACCTGGAGCCTTCTCGGGTGTTTGATTGCCTCTCAGTAAGCAGTGTGATTTCCTGAGTTCAGGTCTGTTGCAGAGTTTGCTCCAAGGATTCTTGGGACTTGATTAAAGGAGAGCATGAAGATAATATATTCCAGTTCTGTGTTAGACTACCAGCAGCATGATGGGATAACAGAGACTGATGTGTTGGGTACAGGAGGGTGCTTTCCTAAAATTGTAATGTTAAAACTGGTATAACTTGAATGCGAATACTCCTCCTTCTGCATGTGTATACAAACACCACACGGTTCAAAGATCCAAGGAACTGAGGGAGCTGTGTGTGAAGGATTTGCACACTACACCAGCTTCTGCTCTAGTGCCTGGCTACCAGCCCATGAGCAGTACTCTCTAAATTAAACCATCCTGATTTACAGACTTAAGCTGTATCTTTCAACAAAGCAATTATCTATGTGTGCAACTAGAGGAGTTTATCTATGTGTGTGTGAAAAAGCACAAGTAGGTAGTAAGTGTTTTATGCTGTTTCCTTTAAAGTTGGAATCTACCGTTTAGCATACGTAAGCAGCCCTACCATGATAAACCATCACATGGCAGGCAAAATGTTAGAAGGAGAAGGAGTTCATACAAATACGATAAAAGGGGCACTTACCTTTTAGCTGGAGGCTTTAGTTAGTGACACTTTTAATTTGGTGGTGGAAGGATTCTCACTGACTTAAGTCTTAACAAAAGCAACATTTGACCCCCAATTTCTATAGCTATTTTTCAAGTCAGGGTTTGATTTGAGAATATTTGAGTGGATTTTTTTTTTTTAAAAAAAAAAAAGTATGTTAAAATTATCAAATCTGCTATGAGCTTGTCTTCTTAAGTATATGCCAAACGAGTAGCAAAAGCAGGTAAATTCACAGTGAAACTAATTGCTGCTGTTTCTTTGTATCAGCTCCATTAATGACTGGGCAGACAAACCTCATCATAGGCAGGTAAAATCCTTACTGAGTAAATTCCCTGGGAGCTTGCTTGTCTGTGGTCTGCTTCCCTGGGTCCTAATTTACCAGCAGCAAGTAAAGGATCAAAATTAAGGTTTGATGTTGCCAACTATCTGATCAAACAGTGGCAGTGGTTTTCAGCAACACCAAAGCAGCAATCTGGTACCCAGCTCTCTTCATCATCAGGTACTGGGAATAAAAACAAGCACGTTGGAAAGATGTCAATTCCTGTTGGCGTGTGAATTTGGGGGTGCTGGGTTTAATTTTCCAGGATCATGGGTGACACTGACATTTTGGGAGGAGGAGGATGTTGAGAAGAGTAGCACATGGTTCTGGGGATGGGAGGAGGAAGGAGCAGGGAATGCAGCTGAGGATGGGTTGCCCCTGGGCTGGAGTAAAGGAAAGCTCGGGAAACGGAACGGTGCCAAGTGTGATGAAGAACAGAAAAAGCAGAGTCACCAAGCTAGGAAGGGTGATGCCATGAGATGATGCCGTGGCCAGATTTGCAGATCTGACCAGAAATGTGTCTGTGTCACAGGCAAAATGGCCTCTGTTGTGTGACAATGATCATTTTTAAGTATGTGGAATTCAACTTTGTTTTTTTCCTGCATGTGATTTTTACACAACCCACTCCGAAATGCCGTATTTGTTTATTTTTTTAAAACCTTGGCTGATGTTCCTCACACCACTGTTTTTACTTCCTTCCTCCAATTAAAGGATATTGTGGAAAAGTGCTGTGCAAACAGAGCTTTTTCACTGAATGTAGTGATAATGACTAGTTCATGTCATGACAACACTGGTGAAGCACTCTTCTTATTTTCTCACAGGAGTTAGCATTCTGCATATCACTTTTGGCATTTCTTATACTACATCAGCTTTGGAATCTGATTCAATACATGATTTGTACTTTCATGGGTAGGAAATATTTTGTTTTACCATTAACTAACAGTTAAAATAGTGTCTCTGGTGATGTTCCCACATGGTTTTAAAGGATTTTTTTCCCTTTCCTCCCATCCAAAAACATCATGCTAGTTCACAATATAGGCTGCCTAAAACATTTCTTCCTTGCACCTTTGAAACGCCATCCTTCAGCTTACTCCTGCATGGTTAAACATTGCATCTCCCTGGTTCAAAATGAAAAGAGACAATTACTCCCTTAGACATATGGGCTTATATTTCAGTTGCTGTTCGGATGATCAGCAGGATGGAAAATCTGTGGGTTGACAAGAGATGTGGAGAGCCCCAAGATTGATCAGTCCAACAAATGGGAGAGAAAGATCTGGAGAATAATGGTTCTCATCAGAGGGGTTAAACATCAGGAAGAAAAATCCACTGCATAATCCTGCTGCCAGGATTTCCACTTTGAGCAAATCACCAGTGCTCCCTCAGGGGATGGCTGAAGCCCTGCTCCCTGGAGGTCCTCACTGAGATAGTGGAGAAAGTCCCCTCACACCCCAGCCTACAGAGCACACCCCACATGCTGGGGACTCACCTTCAGGTCCTTTTTCCACCAAAAGACATCCAAAGCCATCTCTCCCACATTGTCACTGAGCACGAAGTACCAAACATGTCCCTCAAATGCATCCCTATGAGACTGGGGGGGGATCTCAACCCTTTAGACATTCAAGGCCGTGTATGTGCTTTTAAATATCTGTGCTTTTAAAATGTTTTCCTGTAGGCAAAGGCTTTTTTTTTTCCTTAGGTCACACTAATTAAGAGCTGAAATATCTACAAGATCAAGGGCCGAGAACTTCACTACCCAGTGAAGTTGTCCTGAATGCAAATACTGTAAAATAAACCTTAATTATTCCATAACATCTCTTCTGGAGTAGATGCGTTTTGGTAGACACTGTCCATGATTTAGTTCTTCCAGCTCCAAATCCACCCCCCTCTTAGGCAAGACATATGTGTATATTCAGTTTCCAAAGTGATATGGCTGATCTACAGAGAATTCTCTGTTACTACTGGGGTATTTAATCTTATTTACTGAAGACCTCTGACACAAAACAACTGTAGTTACCTTTAGGTATTGGCTCTAATGACAAAAAAAATTCAATTTTTGTCTATTCTTCAATACAAAATGCTTGTTTTTCCCTGCTGACTTTCAGTACTGCACTCTAAGTACTGTACAACATGATATGGCACATCTATGAAAAATGATAAATTATTATTCAGCTTTTATGTGCAAAAATTCCAGCGCTATGACTGAAGTATATGTCTCCATAAAAAAAGGGAGAGGGGAGAAGCTATCACCTACGCTTTAGCTGCATAAGTTATGCAAAAAGATGTACTGTCTGGTGGTAATTTGAATTTGAAAAGCATTGGGCACTGTGAATCTCAATTAAATTTATGGATCATAGTTTAATTTTCATTTATTTGTGTTTGTTTTTGAAAATTCGTTATATTATTACAAGAGGACATGGATCTTGTTTGTACCTCTGGGAAATCAGGCATGCAAAGAGCATTAAGCTCTTTTTTTCCTCTCTTTTTTAATTCAAAATACCTTTTGAAATTAAAAATAGACAAATGAAGAAAGCTCTCATTTCTACCATTCGAGACCTCTTTCTATGTGGTCTCTAGTGACAGCTTTATGATTTATTTAATCATGCGATAGAAAGGAGGTGAGGGAGAAAAGGCATTCTGGTCTCAGACTCTATTTGCATAAAAATTATTTTCTTCTCCATGTGTAGTGGGGTGGCTGTTTAGACAGTTTGTGTGTCTTTATCTTTCATGTGAGGTATCAGGTCACTGCTCTTTTTTCTTTTTTGCGTGATAAGCCCCTGAAAGCCAAATAACAAAATTACTTGAAATAACTGTAATAATAATTTATAATAATACTATAAATCATCACGACTGTCATCATAAAAGCAGCATATAATTTATTTTCAGCCTATTTTAATAGAATGCACTGATAGGGATTTCCTGTTTTTTCAGCAGCAAAAAGAGGTTAGTTCCACCAACTAACCCCCCAAATTTACTTTATTTAAGGGCCACTTCACTCTAAGAAACTGTATCAATGCATGAAGAAATTTGCTCCAGAGCACAGAAGGGTGTATCGGCAGGGATACAGCAACAGGAGGTGCAGCCCACAGGTGTACAGATTGCTTGGTCTAAAAAAGGGATGGCAGGAGATGATTCAGCACGAACGAAATAGGAAACTCCACACTAGAGAGATGCATCCCACTTCAGGGAGAGCCTAAGTCAGAAGTATAGTCACCGCAGGCTGCTTCTGCATCTGAGACAGGACAAGAGGCATCTCCAGTAAGAGAGACAGTTCACCAACTGCTTCTTGTTCACAAGTGACACCTCTACACATCTGCCTGCTGAGTGTAAGGTGACATCGCTCTTAACCCAGATGCCTCTGCTCAGTGTCTAAAGTTGTGAGGGTCTTTTGAAGTGAAACTGAGCCTCTGCAGATGACAACAGGCAGCAAATTATTAAAACACAGGGAGCAGGAATATCATCAATGAGCTGCCTTGCCACCATGGGGAATAAT